TTCTCTTTCCTCTTCTCTCCCCTCGCTTCCCCTCCCCCTCCCCCCTCCTCTCCTCTCTTCCTCTCTCCCCTGCTACTGTCCCAATCACCTGTACTTTGTAGGTGAACACACTGCAGAAGCATCTTGAGACCATGGAGCAGGAGCTCATCAAGGCAAAAGACAAAATCTCACTACAGGGAGGTAAACTCAGACAGGCTGACCTGGACAAAAGTCAGATACAGGTCAGGTTCAAGGGCGATCTTGCTAAGGTAAGTCAGAAATCAAATGTATGATGTCAACGTTCTGTCCCCAACAATGTCTGTGCCTGGTTAGTGATTCAGTAGACTTTCAGTGCTTTCAGTTTTACGGCACTTGCAAGATAAATAGGTCATACAAGTGCTGAAGAGGTAGAGGTGGGCAAAATCCGGATACATATCTGGATAACAGGATAATCCTCAATAAGACATTATCCGAATTCAGACTCTTTAACTCTCTTTCCTGACCCGTTTGCCGAAGTGGGTGCACCCATTTGCTGAAGTAGCGCTAACCCGTTTGTCGAAGTTTTCTAACCCATTTGCCGAAGCGGTTCATGTCATAATATTTGCCGAAGAGGTGCACTAACATATTATCCAGATGTTGCTAAAGCGACTCATTGCCCAGCCTTATTAAGAGGACTTGAAAGGGTAGACACAGGCAGATAGTTGATACGTGTAAAGGGTTTGTTTAAAGTAAGAAAGAGCAGAGCAAACACTAGACTCACTCTCTCGCCCAGGTACAATGTATCTGAAGGCAAGATAAAGACAAGACGATCAGATTAGTATCTTGGTGCTGGAGGTTGTCAGAATGCCATCCATATTGAAGGGCAGACTGCCTAGATATGCCACATGAGTCCCTCAGTCCCAGCTAATTAGGGTTTGGGGGACTGGGCCAAGAACCCTCTATCTTAAAAAAAAAACGTTTTTTGTGCCTGGCGTGAAGGCCAATCAAAATGTGACCCCCACTTTGAGTAGAGATTCAGGATGTTCGTAGAAGGTCAAGTAGGTTCTGAATGGAGGGTTAGAATTTACATTTAATATTCTTTCCTTCTCTACATATTTGCCTCCTCTAAAGGGTAATGAAACTGAAACTGAACTACTTTGGGCATTTCAAATGCCATTGAGTCACTCAAGAAACATATTCTGGACGCAAAGGTTTAAGTTGGAGGCAAGAGAAGGGGGAGGGGGAGACCTAACAGAAGATGGGAGAAACCTGGATTGGACCCAAAACAACACGGACAGGAAGAATGACAAGAGACAGAGTGTTTATTGCAGAAAAGTCATAGGAGCAGCGTCTAGCTACTAGAAAAACTAAGAAGAAGAAAAAGGCATCATTGGCTATGTCCAACATGGGAATGGGAGTGGTTTATGGGGCCAAAAAAACTAAAAACAATTCTCTTCCTTTCACCAACAGGTGACCCAGACAGTGCGCAAAGAAGTGGAGCGGACACGCGAGGTGATGCGGGCCCAGTGGGAGGAGATACGGGAACTACGTCAGCAGAATGAGGACATGCGCAGTGACATACGCGAAATCCGGGAACTTCTCACAGCAGACTTGCCCGTGGAGAGTCCGGTGGAGAAACTGTACGGTCACTCCCAGTCGCCCTACAGTCTGCAGACGGCCAGCCCATCCCTTCCCGCCCTTAGCAGGACACAGCAACAACACGGTCGTCGGTTGGGGCAGGGGCGAAAGCAGTAATTCATGTAATGTGCGGTCTTTACGTCTTGACAGACGATCTTGGAGCAGTTTGCATGTTACAGCTTTGCCTGGGCAGTAGACAAACATGAAATAGATTGCCCACGTATCTGTACTACTCCCCTCTCTTCAGATCTTGACGTCCTTGGTATGTTCCAGAGGAGAGATATCGTCGATCCATTTGGAATCAAGGAAAGTGTAAGGGTGTGTTCTTCTATTTTACAGGTGTGGTATGGATATTTTTCTTGGTAGGGAAGTTTGGAATTTGGAACCTTGCGAACGGCCTACAATTTTCAAACTACCCAGAGATCCTTAACATGCACAACATATACACAGGCCCCCCGAGAGTTTTCGTCCTTCTCCGAGAAGACAAGACAGAAGAAGAAGAAGAAGAAGAAGAAGAAGAAGAAGAAGAAGAAGAAGAAGAAGAAAAAGAAGAAGAAGAAGAAGAAGAAGAGAAAACTAAACATGCCCACACGGACCAGATGAAATCTCACTTTTGGCTGCCTGACACAGTCTGGCAACATGACCCACGGTGTGTGAAGGATCATCCCAGGTTGTGTGATTTTCCTTCCTGCACTGCCCCCCCCAAAGTTCCCTTTCCAAAATGGCCTCCTCCGTTGCCCCATAGGCCTTCCACACACCCAGATGAACATAACTACATAACTTCAAGGAAAGGACCTATATTATATCTGTAATTATGGTATGTGTGTCCGCTAGTTTTGACACTGACCAATGTGCCTTCTTGTCGGACATCAGGGTATATTTTCAACCAGTGGACCACGTGATACACGCATAAAGGGACTTGATCTGTGCTTTGCTCAGTAGGGCACAGCAAGCTGAAGCTCAGAGGCCTCGGTAAGCCGCCATTGATGCGTTCATAATATTATGTCTCTGACCGACCCCTCTCCCCATTCTACTACTTATTGTGTTAATCTTACGCCTGTATGTAAATGAATCGTGTTTCTTCTCCGCCATCAAGCTGTGATATCTGACGGGCTGTGATATAATAATATGACGAACGTCTGTGGCGTACCGATTAGCCACTTCGCTGTTACATGCAGAGGATGTTAGTTCGACTCTTATGTGATGAGAGTTTTAAAATCATGTAATTCCGTCTGTCTGTGGGGACATCGTATCTGTCTCAGCCTTGTTTGGCTCTGATGGGAGGGTCAAAACAGCCCGCCTTCTACATAATCTAAAATCGTGAGCGTGTAAAACATGTACAGTTACATTTCTTTTGTTTTGAAATATTTGCTAACTAGTTGCTACCTTAGAATTACAAAGTTCTATATGACATTTTTGGCCGTTTTGAGTAACTAAGACCATGAGATCAGAAACCAGTGGGTGCTTGGAAGGCGCAACTAGCAGGTCCTACTTCTCTACTTTCCCTCTTTGGTTTCTGTCTGTGTGTCTTACTAAATGATCATTATTGTTTCGACGTGCTTCTCTTCACTCAAACAAAGTTCTATCAAAATCGTAATATTATTCGGAGTCGTTATTAATATATTTGAAGAAAGGCATCCAAAAGAGCTTGACATGTTGTGAAACTCAAAATTTTTAAATTACGTCAAATTTCTCAAAGCTAGGAACTGATCAAATAGAACTTCGTAATTCTAGGGTAACGAAATACATGTATTGGACAGGAGCCAATGGATTTTACAGATATGAATGTGGACGATGAAAGTGCCAGTGATTGTTGGTGCGAAATATGTTGGTATAGCCTAACGGTATTGTGCAATTGGTGTGCAGAACGTCTGTACAGGGTGTGTTGATATGACGTGAGTAGTGTGTTGTCATCGAGTGTGATGGTATGGAGTATGTAATGTGTTGGTATGGAGTGTCTTTATAATATGGAGTGTGCTGTCATCGAGTGTGATGGTATGGAGTATGTAGTGTGTTGGTATGGAGTGTCTTTATAATATGGAGTGTGTTGTTATCGAGTGTGTTGGTATGGGGTGTCTTTATATGGAGTGTGTGGTCATCGATTGTGTTGGTATGGAGTGTGGTGTCATTGGTTGTGTTGGTATGACGTATGTAGTATGCTGGAATGGAATGGCGTCTTTTCACGGAATGAGTTGTTTTGGAGTGTGTTGGTGTGTAGCGTGTCATACGGAATGTGCTTGTGATTTCATGCATTGATGTAAATAAACGTCCCTTGTTTGCACAGGAAGTCTGCACATGGTTTTGGTTTGTTCACTTGTTTGTACTTTACAAAAGATAAAACATACGTGTTGATTGGTCTGCATGGGTAAAGTGTGTTGTTTAGTTGTGTGGGTAGAGGGGGTGGAGGTCGTGGAGGGGGTGTAAAAAAGTCACTGTTAATGAAGTGAATAATATCCTTTGACCAAGCTGTGTGTGTGTGTGTGTGTGTGTGTGTGTGTATGTGTGTGTGTGTGTGTGTGTGTGTGTGT